ATGCACTGTTGAGTCATGACAAGTCTCGCATCAGATCCTGGAGTGAAGCAGCGAGTTGTCTGGTTGTTCTATGGGTATGCTGACTACATTGAGCAAAATGTCCATTGCAGATGAGTATTATATGCATGTCTGAAGATTTGTCACAGCATTTCTTCTTACCAGCAAACATAGAACAGTCATGACAAAGCTAGTAAAATTTAGTCCACTGTTGAGTCATGACAAGTCTCGCATCAGATCCTGGAGTGAAGCAGCGAGTTGTCTGGTTGTTCTATGGGTATGCTGACTACATTGAGCAAAATGTCCATTGCAGATGAGTATTATATGCATGTCTGAAGATTTGTCACAGCATTTCTTCTTACCAGCAAACATAGAACAGTCATGACAAAGCTAGTAAAATTTAGTCACTGCTCCATTATGTTTTATATATTAAAAAAACCCAAATCTTTCAAATGAATTGCCCCTGTACTGCAACCCCATTTTGGACCAGGTGAGGGGAGGAAGATCGTGGAGGTGGGGGAAGCATGGGAGAGCAAGCTCACCCTAAACTCTCCCCGAGCAGCAGTGGCCCCTGTGTCCTATGGGTCTGAGCCCAGCTCCTCGCTGTGGGTGTTACAGTTTGGCATATAGAGTCGCTCAGTTTGGCCCTGCCACTCTTCTCTCATGACCCACCTAGAACCTTCCCAGATGGAAGTCAAACACAGAAGTTGAAGTATCTGTGACTTTTTCAGTCACATGACAAACCTGCAGCCCTTAACTCTAGTTCTGCAGTTTCATGAGATGACAGTGTAAGGCTATGTTTATACTGCTGCACTGTTTCAGGATTCTGGAGGTGTCCCAAAATAGCACTTCCATGTCTTTTGAGCACTCCCATTATTTTGAAATATAATAGGCTCGCTATTCTGACGTCCCTGTAAACGTCCTTCCACGAGGAGTAAGGGACATTTTGGAATAGCGATTATTTCACATTAAGTGCTGTGTGGACAGCACCAGATTATGAAAGAAGCTATTTCAAAATTGACTCGAACTAAGCTGCACAATTTGCATAGCTCAAATTGTGCAGCTTATTTCAAGCTGCGGGTGCAGTGTAGATGTAGCCTAACTGTCCAGATGAATTGTGACGACAGGCTAGTGTCTGCCCAAGCTCATGCATTCATTCATGCAGCATTTCATCATCTGCCTTAAAAATTGGAGAGGCTTACGTAAAACTAGTTGTTGTGTTATTCACTGAGGATATAGCCTTGAGTCTCACTCTCTCTGCAAGACGCACACAAAAGAACTTCTCACAATTATGTGACAAGAGTCTGTCTCCATTCTGGTTCTGGTTCTGGTCCCGGTCCCTAGTAGATAAAATAAAGCCCTTCTTAAACTGGACTTTCTCTAAGGTAACACTTGAGAGTAATCCACCTTATCAGTGAGATAATCATAATTTAAACAGTCAATCATTCCATTTCTGAGTGGCCCCAGATAGCTGGGCAGTAGCAAGCACCAATCTAGAGCCCTGCAAATCTGCGGATGTCTCCTTTACGTCCATGGATATCCGAATCTGTGGATGTGAATATCTGTGGCTCATTTTTGTGGCTACAGATGTGGATACAAAATTTTGTATCTATATAGGGCTCTACACCAGTCCTTTCACTGCCTTCTGACTCTTATTACATCAGTTTAAGCTCCTTACGTGCATTTTCAAAATCCATCTCAATTTCACCCTCACATCTCTTCTGATAATCCTGTCTCCTAGTTGCTTCTCTTGTCTCCTTTTAATCACCCTCAGCTTCATTTTCTTTCATGTGTCCCACTATTCTTAGAACATCCTAACACTCCAAAGACACACTCAGCCTTCTCTTTCAATTGCAGTCCTTTCATGAGACCTTCCAACGTGGTTTGCCATTTTCTGCATATGTGGTTTCCCTGTGTATTGTGTTTGCCTCCATGAAAATGATTTTCAGCTCCTCAGGGCACAGCCTGCATGTTCCAGGTGTTCGTTAAATGCCTTGACACATATCACACTCCATAAATAATGAAAACAGGGCACACCAAATCTGCTGTTGATGGGACTCTGGGAGTGTTAGTGCTACCACCTTGAAGCCAGCGTATGTACTCCAGCTCTTCCACTTCCACCCCTTTCTGAATCACTGTGATTCCTGTGCAAAAACTTCCAGGATCACAGTAGCAATGTAGCCTCTGATTCAGCAGCAATGCAGTGGGGTGGAAGGAGGAATAGGAAAGAATCCGAGTGTTTCACTCCCCTTTAGGCAAAGGTCTTGACAGAATGGGATGGAGATGAAACCAGTAGAGTTCTGCAGACATTAATTTAGCAACTTTTAGAATTCATTATGGAATTGAGTCCTATCAAATTTGATGATAGAGACAGAGCTTGCTTAAAATGTATAGGATCACTGGAAGATTTACCTGGTCTTGCTCACATCATTAACTCAATTAATTTTTGTTTTTCCTCACATGAATCATTGTTCCAGGGTGGGACTGGGGATGAGGGATTCTGTATGGAGGTTGCCTTGGGGAGAGAGGACTACCCCAGCCTCTCACCACAGCATTTTGGGGCCAGGTGAGAAGCACCTTTCCATGGTTGGCGCAGCTCCAGCGGGCACAGCTGGAAGAGGGGTGCATGTCCCCAGCTAGGACAGGTTCAGGTTCATCTACCCCCTGCATTTCCCAGCCAGATTGAGGAATGGAGCAAATTGTGCACTGTCCCCTTGCACTCTGATGAAGGGGAGCAGCCAACAGTGTTTCCTTCTCTAAAGGACCCCTGGGGGCTAGGAGTCTCAGGGCTCAGATAGTCTTGGAGGGGAGTACCCCAGCCATCCCCTTTCACCTGCCTGGTGATTCTGCCTCTTTTCTGTATGGTTTTATGTGTCCCCTTACTCATGGGGTGGGGGAATTGAACAGTCAAATCCTCACCTTGCTTGAAGTTATGATAAGAGAAAGCTATACAACAGATTTGGTCATTCTAGAGCTTACTGTTTAGGAGGAATTCTTGAACAGACAGACAGACTTGCTTGCTTGCTCACAAACTCTCTCGCAAATATATAGTAGATTAAAAACAACACCTGTAGGAAGGTTCTCATTTAATACTAATTCTTATAAAGCCATAGAGGCTGCTTGAATGCATTGAAATTTATGGTTTTTCCCATGGATGTCAGTGCAAGCATTCAGTTAAAGAGCTATACCTTCGCCCTCCTTTAACTTTTCCCCCTCTTTGAGGGTGATGATGTTGTGGTAATTCCGTGCAGTTGAACTGCTTGGAGTTTTCCCTTCCTGTGGGTTTTTGGTTTGATTTGTATTTCACATAAAAATGAACCTAGTATCATTTTATTTTTATCTCCATAGAGATACACACACGTATGAGCAGAGTTTAAACTCTAAATCATACGTCATGTACCTTCTGTGCATACATACGTGATGAGAGTCATCAGTCTAGTTCTGTTAAGACATTGCCATATCGTCATCACCAGGGCTTATCAGATCATTGGTGTAGGAATGTGGAGTCCCAAATTGTGCAACATGTGTGCAGTTTATTTTAATCAATAAATTGCCCCTGAAAAGGAGATAAAATTATTCCACACTGCCTTTGGATTCGCAAAGTTCTCAGCACAGCTGGGTTGAGGTATGTGTCAAGTTCCTCCTGCCCCTCCCCTCATTGTTTCTTGAAAGAAAGGAACTCCTTCCTTTTCCACCCTCTCATGCCCCTCTGTTGGCCCTGCAATCCCTTTTAGTGCCTGTTCTGATTTATTTTCTGGGCGAGGTATCCGTCCATTGGCGAATCTGGATCTTCCCTGTGAAATTTCCATCAGAATGTCGCTGAGTCTGTTTGTTTTTCCGTCTGGAATGTGGACATGCTCTGTTAAACTGCCAGCTGGATTGTCTGGGCTGCTGGCTCACAATCAGTTATAGCTTCTCTCTTTTTTTTTTTCCTTTTCCTTTTCTTCCCTCCTTTCCCTTACAAAGTTGTAGAAAAGAGTTTCACATTTTCCAGGTTACTGAAAGGGGAGAAGGAGTGGGGAACAGCCACACCTAGTATAATAAGTACTTTTCCTCTTCTCTGTGGTTTGGAAACTCTTCTCTGGAATATTGGTGTTTCCAGTCCTACTTTCTTTCTCAAGTGTAATTAAGTACCACTAGTGGAAAGCTGTTTTCTAGGGAAGCATTCATTGCATCTGAGTGCTTTCAGAAGAGGTGGGTTTTTTTCCCCATTCTCTTTGAACTTTCCACTATTCTTCTTTTGCCCGGAAACTATCAAGATCTCTTCATCCGCAGTAGCCAAGAGACACAGATGGAAATAGGTGGAACCATGCTGTTCCTGTATGCAATGGCTCCATGCTGGTGCCAGGAGTGGATTGTTGGATTTTTGATGCACTCTTCCAACCACCACCCAAGGCCAAACATGCCAGTACCACAATGTAGTCATCCCTCAGTGACTCAGTAGATTCTACAGTGCAGCCAGCCTTCATTTTGATGTCATGTCTCCTGTCACATACTCACTGAATGTACTCCCCTAAGGCTAGGACTACACTAGAGCCTTTTTTCGGAAAAAGCTACGTAAATTGCGCTCCACAATGTGCATAGCTTTTTCCGATTGCTTTTCTAGGATGGGGCCAAATAGCTGAAAAGCCTCCTATTTCGGAGGAGCCATTATTCCTTGTAGAACGAGGTATACAGGGCTCCCCGAAAGAGCATGTTTGCTCTTCCGCAAAAAAAAAAAAAAAAGCAGAAGAGCAAACGCGTTCTCTGGACACGGCAGAGTTTTTCCGGGATACCTCCGGTAAACCCTGCAGACTAGACGTACCCTAACTCAGCTAAGAATAGAGTTGAATTTTGACTTAAGACAGTGTGAGGATGGGCTCATAGGAGGCCTTTGTAGGGCAGCCTACTTGGAAGTAGTTTCCCCTGAGAGTGGGCTCATTCCTTATTCCTTGAGCTGAGTTTTGACCCAGCTATAACTAGTATAATATTGTTTACATTACTGTAGCACGTAGGCCACCTGCTTACGGTTCAAGACCCCATTGTGCTAGGTGCTGGTCTATGGCCCAAGAGCCTTACAGTTGAAGTAGAGCATCAGGCAGGCCTAAGAGAGAAAAAGGTGGCTTATGGTGACTCTCCACACCCCAAAGCTACCTCAGCTACACAGAGTGTAAGTATGATGCAGCTGAGGGTTGAGCAGACTAGATGTAATTTAAAAGTGAATAAACATTTAATTCAAGCAGATACCGTCAAAGTGCTTATCTGCCCAAGTTAGGCCAGGATGAAGATAATTTATTAAAAAATTATTTTGATGGCAAATTGTTTTTTTGTAAAAATGAAAATGTTCATAAAGTGCCTGCTTTCCTCAATTATTTTCAGTTTTTTTCCATTAAAAAAATCAAATAAAATAACAGGGTTTTTGACTAAACATTTTTGGATTGCCAAAGGCTGAAGATATTTGATTTTTTCAGATTTGCAGTATTTCTGTGAAAATGTTGACATTTTTCAACAAAAACTAATTTTTGTCAGTTTTGAAAAAATGTATGTGGGGAGGCGGTCCCTTTCCAACTAGCTGTATGTATTCTAGGGCTACGTCTACACTGGCCCCAAATTCCGGAAAAGGCATGCAAAGCAGGTAAGTCAGAATAGGGAAATCCGCGGGGGATTTAAATATCCCCCGCGGATTTAAATAAACATGTCCGCCGCTTTTTTTCCGGCTTGGGGAAAAGCCGGAAAAAAGCGTCTAGACTGGCGCGATCCTCCGGAATAAAGCCCTTTTCCGGAGGATCTCTTATTCCTACCTGAAAGTAGGAAAAAAGTGGCGGACATGTTTATTTAAATCCGCAGGGGATATTTAAATCCCCTGCGGATTTCCCTGTTCTGACTTACCTGCTTTGCATGCCTTTTCCGGAATTTGGGGCCAGTGTAGACGTAGCCTAGCTGTTCGTGCTGTCTCTGCTCAATCCCAGGATAATGAAAGGTAGGGGCAATTTATGAGCACAGGAAACATGCATTAGATTAAAATGAATTTATTTTTAATTTATAAAATGTCTCTGTCAAAGTTCCAGGTGCACAAAATTTTAAAAATACATGAATTCTAAATAACTTAATTTCCTAAGAGAATCGACCTTTCTCCAAAACCAAGCAGAATTCTCTCATCCTGGAAGAGGGCGTGGGAAACTCATCCTCAGATTGTCCTGCTAAGAACTAAAGACATCCTAACCTTGGCTTTAAAGGATTAAATTGAATTGACTTTCTCTGATACTGAGAGAGAGGAGCACACATTTCAATTACATGTGCTTTAGCCTACTGAATATGGGCCAAATTTTGCTCTTATTTAAGTCAGTGGCAAGCCCCTTATTGAGTTCAGTGGGGTCAGAATTGGTCTCTGTGCACTATATATGTACTGGCAGCTCAGACTACAGATACAGATGTATATTTTACATGGCATGTCTGTTTTACACAGATTGTACACTTGATGCCTTTTAAATAATATCTGTAGAGAAGCTGGTAGGGTAATTCCCAGTTTGGAGATATATACATACGCACACATGCAGTAGGTCTGCTTGAGCTAGTGTGCTAAAAATAACAATGTGGCCACACAGTCATGAGCAGTGGCTTGGGCTAGGCACTTGAGTATGTACCCAGGAGTTCGGATGGGATTGTACTAGCCCAAGCTGCTGCCTGTGATGTTGCAGCCACACAGCTAATTTTAGTGCATTAGCTCAGACAGACCTGGTGTGAGTGTCTGCCTGCACTAGAATTCACTTTCCCATCTACTATGTTGACATATCCAAAGAGGTCTTAAGAAGAAATTTTGAATTGTTGAATAAAATGTTAAAAATCTACTCTGATTTTCTGGGAGGGGCATCCAGATGTGACACAAACACTTGTGTGTAAAACGGGTTACACATGTGTAAATAAGTCAAAAGCAATTGGCTGACATGTCCAGTGCTGATGTGCACAATCAATTGCAGGTGCCATACTCTCTTTAATGCGGGTGTTGAATTTGTTTTTGTACATTGTTGTGCAGCACAAATGAAAATTGGATGCATGTAACTGCAAAAGAAAAGGCCAGGATGAAACTCATTTGGGTTTTCTATTTGGTTTTTCTAGAATGTGAAAATTTCCTGGAGGATGGACTGAGTGGAGACTGTGCCTCATCACAGAGTGTCCTGAAAGGAGAAACCGGAAGCGAGTCTGAATTCTTCTCCTTGCCTGGTGATGGGATGGATGACATCATCTTTGGAAAGGTAGAGCTATCTCAAGACCCCCATAGCAGTAAGATGACTTGATTCTAATGACCTACCCTGGCAAAATTCCCATCAATTTTGGGAGGAGTTCTGCCTGTGTAGTGACCAGTGATAGGTAATTGGAAATAGATGCAGAGATAAGAAGGATCAGGCCCCTTGTGTAGCTATGGTGATCAAGAGGGACATGTTTGGTATGGTTTTGCAAAATGTTGATTTCCAGCAGGGTTCAAGAGATCCTACAATCCCCTGTGCATTAAAGGGGATAATTTAATTTATAACTGTCTGAAGATAGATCAAATGCAAAGGGAAGAGCTGGAAAATACACTTTCTTTCCAGGCCTCTAATAAGGGTTTCATAGAGGCCGTGAAATCCAGTGTTACAAACATTGCATTTTCTCCTGCAAAGAGTCCTCCTCCAAAGCACTGAACTTTCCATTGACCAACTCTGCACTGCAGACTGTGGTTTGTTGGAGAGCCAGTGTGATTCCATCACTTCAATGTTGTTGTGTTAAAAGGCAGAAAACACACTCTGGATACTTAGGACCAGTTTTACAGTGCAGAGTGTAATGGTTACATGTAAATGACAGTAGTAGCTCTAGTTCTTGGATGTTTTTGAGTGACTCTGCTTCTGGCTTGTTATGGGGACCAAAAGTCTTGAGTCATCATTAGCCTGATGATGAGGGGAAGGGTGAAAACCAAGATACAAGAACAGACTCTTAAATATGAGTTAACTTGTTTCAGAATTTGCCTTGGGTCTACTATTTCCTAGACCAGGGCATCTTGGTATGTCTTGAGAGGCAGAAACCAACCACCCTCCTATACTTCTAGCTGACCACTTTATAATGTTAAGCTGCGTGTCATCACCTACTCTGATTGGTGAAAGAACAAGTATAGCAGGTGGCAGAAAGGGCACCTTGAGAAAAACTGGTGCTGCAGAATGAGAAGGCTCACTAGAGTGCTTTGGAGAGCCCGCACTGAAACCTTGGCACTAGCTATTTGTATCTGCTGGAGCTTAGAATCCTGCACAAGTTATTTATCATTTGTAGCCATCCAGGCGTACCTGCTGTGCAGGCATGCATTTTGTGTTTTGAGCAACTGGAAGTTGGGGTGATTTTCATGCAAACTTTCAGAGAAATGCATTTAACAAACTAAATTTATCTGGTTAAATCAGATCAGATGACAGCGGACATTTTCCAGCAGGATGGGAAAGACCTCAGCCTAAGTGATCTCATGTGCTATAAATATCCTGGAAAGTCACCCTTAATGAATCTGGCAGGGCACGAAGCTCACCAGCCTCGCCCTTTCCCATCTTGCTCGCTAAAAGATGGAGGGAGCTTACCTTTGAGAATACACAGCTTTCCTCCTGGCAGAGCAGTGAATTGTCTTCCATTATCTTATTCGGGGAGTTGTATGAGCTGAAGAGCTCAGCTTTGCTCATTATTTGAGTCTGCTCCTAGTAAAGGTGTTTGTGGAGGTGGTGGAGGGGAGTTATATTATTTAATGGCAACATATTTTACATTTTTGCCACATAGGGTGTGCTTCCCAAAATATAGTGCATAAAAATGTATGCTTACAGAACATAGTAGTCTAAAATGCCAGCAGTGTCACAAGGAAAAGAAACATCAAGCTGCAGGAGTGAGGGAAGTGTGCATATGGGGTGCATGGTTCTTTGATGGCTCCCTTACAGTGACAGGGCAAGTACTGAGGAAATTTCAATTGCAGAATGTTAAGCCAAATCAGTGTTCTTGAGTGTTTCCCATTATGCAGTGGATTGCATCTACAGATGGGTAAAACTGAAAACTTTTAGCAACTTATTTAAATCTGAAATGATTAGCTGGCCTCTGCCTTACAAGGACTTTTGTCTCCCCGTTACTAACCTTCCAAATCTATAGAATCCTGCAAATCTGAGAATATCTGCTTTATATCTGCAGGTATCTGCATCCATATATGTGGATGGCAATATCTGCAGCTCATTTTTGCAGCTGTGGATGTGTCTGCGGATACAACTTCACATCTAGAACCCTGCAAATTTGCAGATATCTGCTTTATATCCATGAGTGTCCGGCTCCATCGATGTCAGTGCAGATACCCACAGCTCATTTTTGTTGATACAGATGCGAATATAAATTTTGTATCTGTACAGGGCTCTACAAATCTAATCAGAAGGGTTCCCTTTTCCCTCTCTCTCTTCTACCTGTATGTCTGGCACCTCTTTACTACAGTTGTGACTCCATCCACTGTATGTTTATAAAGTCCCGACGCTTTCATCAATACCATTCAGCTTTCAGTAGCTTTTTCTTGTTTTCGTTTTCCTTTTTTTTTTTCTGGGGTCCCAATTAGAGAGGGGTGAATTTGGTTTTCAGAGGAAAGTGTTTTTGAACATTCAATTGAACGAGTACTGAATGCAATCAGATAGTATCTGTGGTCCTGTTTGCTCACTTTTCAGAAAGATTAGCATAACCATGTTCTGTCTATCAATAAGTTTTCAAAATGCAAAGTGCTGTGAACAGACACACATTTCAGAGAAATGATGGTGAAAATGTGTGGAAATGATGGTGAAAATGTATATCTTACACACTATTGCTGTTTGAATGGCCGTCTTGAAAGTGTTTATTGGTAGGGTCATCCCCAGGAGTGTGAGATGTCTGGGACAGCCTGCCACCACCCTTAACCCCCTCCTCCAATGCTGAGAGCCAGCAAAGCAGAGGGGAGTGGGAGTGGGGCTGGTACCATTGCTGATGGGCCCCATGACTCCCAGGCCCCACGTCCCCCTGAAGCAGGGGCAGAGAAGAGTGGGGCCAGTGGCACTACTGCCAGCCCCTGCTCCGCCCAGATCCCCCTGAAACACAAGGCCCAGGGCAACCGCCCTGAATTGTCCTATGGACAGAATGGGTTCTGTTCATGGGTTTGGGAGTAGTCCAGCTCTGGAGCACAGCCAGGATCATGAAACTTTAAGCGACCAAAGACACAGCATAAATGGAGAACTATTCATAGTATATGCAGAGTGGTAGTCACAGCAAATAGCTTATGAATGACCCGTAATGTTCATGCAATCCATTCATCAAATGATTCTGAATTACAGACATGTTTATAAAAATTAGAATCTGCCCATTGTGCTGCTGCTTACCAGATTTGTTCATGAATTGCAATGCTTTAAATGTATTAATATATAATAAGCAACTCTCTCGATCCTAGTCGCATATGTCGATGAGTTCCAGTTTAGGAAATTGAAGACTAATTTGTGCAGGAGAGAGACACTATCAAAATACAGACAAATTGGAGTAGAAATTCTGTTAGATGTGCATACCTGTCCTTTTGTGTCAGTGTCGATGTTGCTAAATAAAAGACAGGACTATGCAGCACTGTAAAGACTAACAAGATGGTTTATTAGGTGATGAGCTTTCGTGGGCCAGACCCACTTCCTCAGATCAATATGTGGAAGAAAATTGGCACGACCATATATACCAAAGTGATACAATCAAAAAAAAAAAAAAAGGGAACGTATATAAAATTGACTAATCAGATTTAAGAGCAGAGAAGAGGTGAGGGGGGAAGGTTAATGTCTGTGAAGTAATGACATTAGGGGTGATAATTGGGGAAGCTATCTTTGTAATGGGTGAGATAATTAGCATCTTTGTTAAGACCCATACGTACAGTGTCAAATTTAAGCATGAATGTATTGGGAGTGAAAAATAGTGGAAAGTGGGCAGACAAAAATAAATACCAAGTTAACTTCAAAAGTAGCAAAAAGGAGAGAGAAATCCTAATGAACAAGCACAAGCACTTATACTAGCCTGTCTTTTTGGGGGAGATGGTAAGGTAGTTCTGTGCGTAGGAATTGGTGCAGGCTTCCCTTTATCCAGGTAAACGTTGCTTTAATTGAATTATGGTGGCTTGGGGCAGTGGGGAGACAAATACATTGATACTTCAGAAGAAAAAAAGTTTGGTCTACTTCTGTGCACAACAGCAACAACAAAAAAACACATGGGGGTTCTCAAAACGTTGAGCATTTTGATTTTGCCGATTCCTGATGATTATTGCTCCAAAGTTCCAGTTTCTCCTTTGGATGGAGATACACTGGAACTGTTCGCTGCAGCAGCTGTTTGCTGCATGAAACTTCCACTCCTTGTAGCAAGAGTTACTGTACTAATACTCAGTGAAGTGAACGATGGCACTGTCTGGAAATCCAATATTCGTTGTTTAATATAGTTAAGAAACTGTAGGCAGAGCATGCCCACAACTCTGAACATCAGAAATTCTTGTAGCCTCCACAAGGTTGTTAACATTTCCCCTATTTTAAGGCTTGCTTCTCTGCAGGGGCTCTAGAGCTGTAGTCTTCTGAGCTGCCTCCATTTCCCCTATTTTAAGCCTTGCTTCTCTGCGGGGGCTCTAGAGCTGTAGTCTTCTGAGCTGTAAATCTGTGCAAGATGCCTCAGCCTGTACCTGACTATAGGTGTGTATACATATGTTCTCATTACTATGTGCTTTGCCTGTCTCCCATATTGTCCTGACTGGCCCACGCAGCGTTGAGGACCACATGCCAGAGAAACAAGAGCTCCTCCGTTAGAGGCCCTATCTTCAAAGCGTGACGCTTTCCTTCAGATTATTAGCAGTTGCTGGCAACCAAGAGTCATTTACACAATGAGTCCTAAGACTCCAGCAAAATGTCAGGCTTGATTCCAGTATTTATTCCCAGAGCCTTGTCATCCTTCTTCTCTAAAGAGCTGTCTGTGCAGCAGGCCGATATTGCAACATTCTCTTCTGTGAATGATTAATGCAGTCTAAGGTCATTTCCTGTCATCTGTGTAACTCTGTCTTCCTGGGGCAGAACTAGTATTGCTTGCTCATCTTCACTTTTAAGCTGCTATTGACACTCAGAGTTGTCATGCAGCTTGTGAATCTGCTCTTCCAGATATTATTAGGTAAATTACCCTGTGAACCAGAGGTCATACCTGAGATTGTGTTCAGTTGAGCAGCGGATAGAGAGTTGGTGATATGTAG